TTCGAGGGGCTTCGGGGGGTAGGGGGGCGTCATGGAGAAGAAGAGATTTACGAGTCCTGCGAGAAAGTGCTCGCGGACGAGTGTAATGTAGTATCCTACATGTCATGGAAGTTTGGCCTGAGGTTTCTTTCTCGTCGTGAACACAGCGTTATAACCGGAACAGAACCTAAAGGCCACAAACGAAATGTCGCTACTTCGCCAAAAAAATCGGATGACTACGTATGAAGTTTTCTCTCATAACATACAAAATAAATCCATTCCTTTATGATTAATGTAGATTCCAAGAAGAAAAGAAGTCCGAATTGAGGTTGATCTTCGCCTAATGCGAGCAACCGCAGGTGCGGAGGGGTTTGCAAAACGTGCCCGATGGGCTTTCGGATATATGAATGAGTGCAGTGCTGCGTGCTAAAGGGGTGTCAGTCATACTTTAACCAGCTGCGATAAAGTTAACATCAAAATTATTGCCCAGTTAGTAAAAATACACCAAGAGGTATCTTTTGCCAAAAATCTGTGACTTACAATTTTTGGTGGTGGGGGAGGGGCAAGTGCATCAAGAGCGGGTCACGGCCATATAAGCTGCATTTCCCCCCTTCAATTTATTGATATTTGATGATAGGTACATAGATTAGTTATTAAATAATTTTACATATGTATGTATTTCTTATTAACTAACTTAAAATTAACTTAAAGCTATTTCAATGGGAGAGGATACCCTTATGGGTCCTCTAATTAGGATGTAACACAGCAAATGTGATGAGAAATGAGTGATAGGCGTATTTGTTTGTAATTCTGGTCTGTTAAATAGGTTTTCTGAGTCTGAAGGGTACCATGGAGGGGATTTGATTTAGGCTGAAGTAAAACTTTGTGGATAGATACGTAATGTGCTGTGATAACGGTTCGAGCATTCCTTATGGAGTTGGAGATTGGTAACCAACCATGGGGCGTTGGCTGTTGTTCTAAGGAACTGATTCTGAATTACTTGAATTTTATTAGTGTTGGTTTTGGCGGCGATAATTCATATTGGGCTGGCGGACAGTAACAGAGGTCTTATGACTGTTTTGTATATGAATATGGTGGAATTGAATGGTACGGAGCTATTTCTATGAATTCATGATTTCAGCTGCAGTCATTTTATTTTCGCTTGAGTTAGTTTGTTATCTATTTTGGCTTGAGTTAGTTTGCTTCCAGTTTAGTTTGGTGTCTAGTTGAAGTCCGAGATATTTAACCGGTTTGTGGGGCGTAGCCATTCTATTGTTGTTGTGTTGTTATGTGTTGTTGTTCAGTATCTTATGGTGGAGTGTAAGGTCTTAGTGTAAATATTTTGGCGGAAGTTTTGTTTGGGTTTTTACTGGATCTTGATTGTGGAAGCCCAGCTATCTAACATGTGGAG